GCAGGAGGGTCAGAATCAGAGATGGAAATGTGACAACGAAGCAGAGGTCAGAGAGAGAAGCAGAGAGAGAGACTGGAAGAGGCCACATGGCTGGCTTTAAAGATGGAGGAAAGGGCCATGAGCAGGCCGTCTCTAGAAGCTGGAAAAGGCAAAGAAATAGATTCTCCCCTAGAGCCTCCAGAAGAAATGCTTCTGAGCTCCAGACCTGTAAAAAACTAAATTTGTCACTAAGTTGGTGGTAATTTGTTACAGCAGCAATAGGAAACTAATACAGTCCTTTAACGTATACAAGTTTAACCTCCTCCATCATTTCGTATATGCATCTCCTCTCAGAAACTAAAGTGTGGGCTCCTCACGCACAAGGACTAGATCTTCTTCTCTAGCACCATCGGAGTTCAGCACGATGGCAGGTTTGGATCAAGCGTTCCATCATTAAATCTCCCTGGATTTTAATCAAAAACTAACAGAGGAGACCCAGGGACTGGTCGGTGGGCCTACAAGAAGTAGAGGGTCTCTGAGACCAAGTCGCAGACAGAAGGGGAGAGGGGCAGTTGCCTGCTCTGAGGCCAAGGTACGCTGTGTCCAAGCTCACCTCTCACCTGATACAGGGCCGGTACCTCTCTTCAGCATCAGGGCAGCGTGAGGATGGAATCTACAATGGTGAAAGCATTAAGCAGTCCTAGAAATATGTAGATATTTTCTAGTTTGTTTGTTTGTTTTTGCGGTACGCGGGCCTCTCACTGTTGTGGCCTCTCCCGTTGCGGAGCACAGGCTCTGGACGTGCAGGCTCAGCAGCCATGGCTCACGGGCCCAGCTGCTCCGCGGCATGTGGGATCTTCCCGGACCGTGACACGAACCCGTGTCCCCTGCATCGGCAGGCGGACTCTCAACCATTGCGCCACCAGGGAAGCCCCTCTAATTTTTTTAACTTGTTTTTTTCCAGCAGTAAAATAAGGTCTATATTGCTTCCACTAGGAAAAGAACATTCTTATACCTTCAGGTGTGATCATGACACTTAAGTCCTGCCTCTGAGCCTCACACTAACATTGACCAGCTCTCCTCACAGAAGCCCTACTCCTGAGACGGGGCAGGTGGCATGGTGGCTGACGGTGCAGGCTGGCTCTGGACTTGAATCCCAGCTCTGCCAGTCCCCAGTGACGTGACCTTGAATGCGTCCTTGACTGTCTCTGTAGACTGGAGGTAACAGCGGCATCCACTTCACACGGGTACTGTGGAATTTCTGGAGCTAACGGGTCGGGTAGCGGGGGCAGCACACAGCCCATGGGAAAAAGCAGCCCTCGATAGTCCCAGGCTCTGATAAAGAGGCCTCTGCGAACTCTGGCACCCAGGGCAGAGGCTGGAAGCGAAAGGTGAACTCTGTCATGGGCGGGGGGGGGGGGGGGGGCTCCCTTTTAGGGACAGCTGCTCTTTAATAGTCACGGTCTCTCCCAAACCTCAGCATCAAAGACAACACGAGCCCACAGACAGCATTTTACACCCATTTTGCTTCGCAGGGCCTGGCTGCTGACACTACCCTCTTCCCGAGGTGCTTTTTGAGGCACTGCTGCTGTGGCCTTTGAGCACAGTAACCCGGCCACGGAGACCTGTGGTACCCCAAGCTTGTAAAATAAGTTACTCTTGGCTTTCCCAGGAAAAACTGCAGTCTGTCCAAAGATCAAGCAATTGAACGGTGAGGTGAAATAACCTTTGCCTCTCCATTTTTCCATTACCCATCTTGTGCCTGTCATGTTTTCCCCCTTCTCTGGTTTCAAAATGCACTCTTTTGAACACACCCTATATTTATCGCCCATCTCCACATATTTTTAGTTAATGTTTCATGAGAGTATCTATTGGTGGATTTCACGTTTCCCACTGCAGGTTTACCCTCACGCTTGAGTCCACAGGTAAAGAGAAAAATAAGAGGCGAGAGATGTGACTTGCAGAGGTGAGCAAGTGAAAACATAAGAGGACCAACGGGGTGTTTTTCCCGTTCTGTCAGCGTTTACCACAAGCCTAAGTTCTGACAACAAGCAGCACTGGGCCTGTTTTAATCAGAGGTCTTCCCTTGAAACTAGAGATTTGTAGCCTAAAAGACTGTTAACCAATACTGTTCCAAATGTTTTTCTTAGGGTTCATTTTATATACACACATGCTCACACACACGTGTGTTCATATATACATTTCATGTGTTGTATACAACATATATTATCTCATACAATATATACTTGTTAAAATCATATAGTTATATATTATATTGTTATTAAGATCACATACAGTTATTAAAATCATTTCTTCAGTAGACTCAAGAAATAAAACAACTACCATGTTGATTTTAGCTCACAAGCGGTAATTTGAGAGAACAGATAATTTAAGATGCTATTTCAACAACTGGGGAGATGTGAGTACGGGCTGTGATCATGGCATTGTGGTTGTGTAAGAGAATGTCCTTGTCCTTACAAGATAAGATGCTGAGTTATTTAGGGGGTTAGTGTCTGGATGTCTGTAACTGATTCTCAAATGGTTGGGGTTGGGGGGGTCATCCATAGAAAGAGAAAGCAAATGTGGAAATGTTACCGATTAGTGAATCTGGGCAAAAGGTGGGTTGGTATTCATTGACTCTTCCTGCAAATTTTCTGTAGATTTGAAATTTTTTTAAAAAGATGCTGGCGGAAAAAGATATTTTCATGACTGTTCAACAAAAGCCTCCTTCCTCCCAGGTAAGACAGAGCATAAGTATAAAAACCCGAGAAATTCTCTAAAATCTTGATTAAAATACATTGCCAAAATCAGAACATTTTTGTGTAAATCTTACAGCTAAAAGCAAAATGCCTATCTTTACTCTAAGAAGTGAGTTAATACATAGTCAGTACTGATGCATACCAATGTCAAATAATCTGCAATAAAAGCAAGAATAACATACACAAGACAGCTAAGGTGCATGGACTGATCAGGACTCAGGACTGGTGGCAGCTTTTAAGGAACTCTATATATAAGATTTCACATTTGTTCTCCAAGGTAAATAAGGCCTTCGAATTTTAGAACTGAAAAGCCTCAGAGAGAAATACAGTCCAATACTTTAATCCTGAATTTGTCTGCAATATAACAAAGGGCCATAGAAAACTAAATATAGAAAAGGTCCATAAAAAGTGTGGACATATACAAGTATTTAAAAGCTGATAAGTGCTTTTAAAGTTGATCTGGAACCCCCTTTTGTGAGTTACAATCAGTATCGGATCAATGTTCCCAGGAAATGTCCTAATTCTTTCATAGAACTCTTTCTAAGAGAAATAAATTTAGTCTCCAATTTTAAATCCTGGCAGTTTCAAAAGTTTGAAGTAATTCCAATTGAATAAAAGTAAGTCAAGGGTTTTCACGAGTTTTTAGAATGATTAACAAAATAGATTTGGCAAGGAAAAGAAATAAAAAGCACATATGCGAACAACAAATAATGAAAAAGTTGAAAAATGACCATGCTATTTGGCAATCTTGCTTTGCCAAATGAAACCACAAATTATTGTGTATCTTCCCCCGACTTCTTAAACCTGCTTCTCAATGATATTTTATTCATTCATTCAGTTATTCAAAAATTTAACCACCTAGGGACTTCCCTGGTGGCACAGTAGTTAAGAATCCACCTGCCAATGCAGGGGACACGGGTTCGAGCCCTGGTCTGGGAAGATCCCACATGCCGCAGAGCGACCAAGCCCGTGCGCCACAAGTACTGAGCCAGCACTCTAGACCCCACGAGCCACAACTACTAAGCCCGCACGCCACACCTACTGAAGCCCGTGCACCTAGAGCCCATGTTCCGCAACAAGAGAAGCCACCGCAATGAGAAGACTGCGCACCGCAACGAAGAGTAGCCCCCGCTCACCACAGCTAGAGAAAAGCCCACGCGCAGCAACTAAGACCCAACACAGCCAAATTATTTATTTATTTATTTATTTTAAAAAAGTGGATGTTTATTAAAAAAAAATTTAACTACCTTATATGTACAAAACATCAGAGGGACTTCAAAGGCTACAAGGCAATTCTTTAAACTACGTAGTATTTGATTATCTATTTCAGCATTTTTTTCTTGATGTGCAGAAAATTATTTCTTTCAAGCCTAAATATGCAACTAAATTGAAAAACAACAACCCTCCATATTTGAGCTTTCTGAAATGTGAACAGTGAGCAAATATCCTAGTTCCACATTGTAGGGAAAATGTAATCTAAGGGGTAAAGAATCCAAGCTTATACTTGGGACTCTGAACCATTAAGCAACTGTTGAGGTGGCCCTTTATTGGATCTTGCCCTTAATTATGAAGCTCATGCAGTCTTAGGCTTGGGTTTCAAAAACCATTAATAATTACCCTTAAATGGCAAACAAAAGGAAAATTTCATCATCAGGGTGGTGTAGGTGTAAAGACTATAAAAGTCGCAGGATCCTGCTCAGCTTCTCACACTCCTATTTGATTCTTCCAGCTGCCTCACTGCTGGACGACCAGGTAAGTGTGCTTTTAGTACTACCTGTAGCTGCTTCTGCTTCCTTTCAGAATGGTGTGAAAGATCACGGTCTAGAGAAAAAGTGGGTTTGTGCCATCGAAAGATATTACCAGTAACTTAAGAGGCTAGAAGCTGTGGTCAGGTTTCTTCAAGACCACAGCCTACAGAGTGCAGAACAGGTACCTAAAAAGTGAAAAATGTCATAATTACTAGTAAAAGTATTTGGCTCCAAAGACTATCTTCTAACAGATATACTCCAAAAACAGACATTTAACAACCTATCTAAGATGATTATTTTTATTTATTTTTTTTTTTTTGCGGTACGCGGGCCTCTCACTGTTGCGGCCTCTCCCGTTGCGGAGCTCCCGTTGCGGAGCACAGGCTCCGGACGCGCAGGCTCAGCGGGCCAGCCGCTCCGCGGCATGTGGGATCTTCCCGGACCGGGGCACGAACCCGTGTCCCCTGCATCGGCAGGCGGACTCTCAACCACTGCGCCACCAGGGAAGCCTGATGATTATTTTTAAAACATGTTTTCAGTCACTGGTACATTGTGATTCCCACAGTTCCCGCCCCCTCTCTCCTCCTCCTCCTCTTTATCTTCCCCTCTCCCCTTTTCTTTATGCTCTCTCACCTATGCCAAGGAAACAGCCCAAAAGCACTCAACTCCTGCTGGCAATCATCAGTATAAAATACTTCACCTTTTTGCTAAGTTCATTTCTTTCCCAATTTACAGGACACCAAAATGAGTACAAACAAGTTTCCTGAAGAACTGAAGAGCATTTTTGAAAAATACGCAGCCAAAGAAGGTGATCCAAACCAGCTGTCGAAGGAGGAGCTGAAGCTATTGATTTAGACTGAATTCCCCAGTTTACTGAAAGTGAGTATACCACCACAGAGCCCGCTGATGGGGCGGCGATGGTGGGAAGGGAGGAGAGAAGAGAGGAAAGGACGCGGGGAGAGGCTGAGGTCCACGACGAGACGGACCAGAGCTCCATCTGAGGCGGAGCGCCCAGCAGCCCAGGCATGGGCATCACCGGAGGGAGGGCGCTTGAATGTGTGCTTTCCTCCCCTGAGGGCAGGCCACATTTCAGAAGGCAAGTTCCTAGAAAGCATGGACTGCGCCTTCTATTGCCCACAGCCTTGACTCAGAACTCCCCAGGACCAGCCATAGTAAACAGAAGCCATGATCGCACTCTTACCGAGCTAGGCCTGGAAGACCCGCAGGTTGCCAAGCAAACACACTAAGGCCTTCAGCCTGGATTCAGCACCCCTGTGCCAGGCTTTAGGAAAACAACGAGGCCTGTACGGTTATAGGAGCTGGACTTGGATGTGCTCCTCTGTAATAGGTAGGATCTCTCAACTAGCCCAACACTGACTTGGCAGTCTGTTAAGAAAACCAGCCTCGTGCTGATAAATTGCCCTCTGGCGACACCCATTTCTATTTCAAAAGCATTTACATTTGTGCTAATGAGCAACCATGAGTTTCTAAACAACTTTCAGGAAAGGATTACATTTCCTCAGCCATAAAGTTTCTGATCAAAACCATCCCAGAGTTATCAACATCAAAATGCATCTAGAGGCAATAAGGAATAGGGAAAGGTTAATTCTCTTTGCTCCAATACACTTTCTTTCCCTTGGAACTAAAAACCATCTTCAAAATGGAAGCAACTGTGCAACTACCTGTTACATTTGACTTGGTCCCTACTTAGCTCTAACTTCAGAATTTGGTTCTCAGTTTTTAACCAGAAATGTCCCTTCTGTCAATATGACATATGAGAAGGTTTCTAGTTTTAGTTGTTGAGGTTTCTGTTTTTAGTACTAAAAAGTGAAGTAGCTGAATTCGATGACCTTATAATCGATATTGTCTTATAGTTAAAATGTGAAATAACTTAAAAAGTTAAAGGTACTAGCAGAAAAAGAGACTTTCTAATCAAAAATAAAAACCAGTGTTTCTGAGAAAGATTCAACTTTTCAAAAAAAAACAAAAGGAAGAAAAATAATAATAGGAATAATAGAAAATAATAAAAAGAAGAAAAATAATAATCTGACAGGGAAGCCTAGGCAATCTATTCAAACAATTTGTTTTTAAATAAGGTAAGATTGGTGAATTTTTCTGTATTTTTCTATATTTTATGTATTTCCTATAAAAAGCACATATGGGGCTTACCTGGTGGCGCAGTGGTTGAGAGTCCGCCTGCCGATGCAGGGGACATGGGTTTGTGCCCCGGTCTGGGAAGATCCCACATGCCGCGGAGCAGCTAAGCTCGTGAGCCATGGCCACTGAGCCTGCGCATCCGGAGCCTATGCTCCGCAACGGGAGAGGCCACAACGGTGAGAGGCCCACATATGGCAAAAAAAAAAAAAAAAAAAAAAAAAAAAAAAAAGCACATATGACTTTTCTAATTAGGATAAAGGTAGGAAGACTAATGGTAAGTTGTGAAAAATCTACTTATCAAGTCATGTACTGATTACATTTCCATATGGATTTCTAAGGTTTTCTAAGCTATACTGTTTACATCACATCACCTTGTATGGTTTAGAATGTAGCAAATGCTTCAGGAAAACAGTGCTTGGTATTTATAAAACAGATGCTAAATAACTAACACAGTTTGGTCTTGTGAGCATAACTAAGTGCCAAGTGTCTTTACAGGAATCTTAGGGATTAAAGCATATCTTGATGTAGAGATTTGTTGCACAACAATGTGAACATACTTAACATTACTGAAACGTATACTTAAAAATAGTTAAGATGGGGAATGTTATCTTATGCGATTTTTACCACAATTTAAAAAAATTTTTTGAAGCTGACTTATAAACTAAACTGTTATTTCAATAGGTTTCCTGGGTACTATTTTGCCACAGAGACTCCTAACCTGAAAGTCAGAGTTGTGGCTCAGAACAAGTCTCCCTGAAATATGCCACTTTAGCATGAAGATTACTGGGAACTAAAAAAAATCAAAACCCAAAGATTCAGGGAAAACTCTTTAGCTCCCACTCAGCTGCCTAAATTTATACTGCAAAGAACAGAGCTCTTCTTTTACCAGGAAGAGAGCTCTTGCTAGAGATTCCTTTTGTCCTAAGAAATTTATCTGTATAACAGGCCAAACTTTTGTTTTCCAAACATCTCTGCCTACATCTGAATGGCCTTCCTTCCTTTTGTAGCCTTAGCCCAGGATGTTATATAAGCCTCAGTTACCTGGCTGCCCTTTGGGTATCATACTTTTATGGGGTACCCTGTACGTATGTAATTAAACTTGTTTTTCTCCTGTTGATCTATGTCAATTTAATTAATAGACCAGCCAAAGAACCCAGAAGGGAAGAAGGGAAAATTTTCCACCCCTACAGCAGAGACAAAAATTAATTCTGCTTAATTCACTACAGGAATACCAGTAGTCAAAAGGGAGTTGAGCTGAGCATGATCTGATGTAACAAGCAGTGGTTCTCTGAGTAGTCAGTCCTGGACCAGCAGCATCCACACCGCCCAGGAACCTGTTGGAAATACAGATTCTCAGGTCCCACCCCAAGCCTAGTGAATCGGAAGCTCTGGGAGTAGGACCACCCATCAGTTTGGGTTTACTAAGGTCAGCATGCCCACCTGGTGATTCTGACGCATGCCAAAGTGTGAGAACCACTGAGCCAAAGTCATCCTGCATAGCATAGCAGTGGGCTGCAACCCGGGGTTTGCGAAAAAACTAGGGTGGTTGCTAATTAAGGGGTTGAGCTCTGGAGTCAGTGTTTGAACCCCAAGCCCTCTACTTACCAGCTGGGGGCGCTGAGCAAGTCAGCGGGTGTCTCAAAGCCTCAGTTTCCTCATCTGTAAAGTGGATCTCCCCCACACGGCAGCTGGGAGAATTGCACAGGATAAGGAAAAGCTCTGGCATGGGGCTGGCCCATGGCAAGCCTAGGATCACATGCTGGTCCAGCTCTGGGGCTGGATGCCAAACCAGCTACCAGGGAAATCTTGGAGCAGGGCCCCTCGGCAGTCAAGTAAAGCCCTGGGACTTCTTCTCAAAAGAATGATTTAGATTTAGTTTACATAGGAAACCAATTATTTTAAATACACATTAGCAATTTTAAAATAATAAATGTATGATATCATTTTTTTAAAAAAAAGGGTAGGCAGTTCTGTGACATGAAGCAATACTACAACTAAAGTTGGTTTTTTCATCTCTATCAGTAACATATGACTGAAAACTCGGTTGCCTTCTAGGAACGCAGACCCAGTGTCTCTAATTCGGAAAATGTGCAGCAGTAACTGAATCATTTTCTCTCCTCTCTTCTATCCCATCCTTTTTGTCTAAAACCAGGGTCCAAGCACCCTAGATGACCTCTTTCAAGAACTGGACAGGAATGGAGATGGAGAAGTTAGTTTCGAAGAATTCCAGGTGTTAGTAAAAAAGATATCCCAGTGAAGGAAAAAACAAAACAGATCATTCTAAGAACCGAAAGAAGAGTGCCTGGGATGTGGCCCTATTCTGTATGAAACCACCATTGTCTCCACTTAATTCTTTGCAATTGTAATGATCAAGCAGTGAGGTCTAATTACTGAATAAAGAAATCCTTAGACATGTCTCACCTTGTCAAGTACTGACCCCTGTAGCTTACTAGATTTGAAAGCAACCTTAATTTGATGCATCTAATTTATGGATTTATAAAGAAAAAAAAAAAGGCCCACAATAGTTCCACGATCTTGACCAAGACCACAAAGATGGTGGCGGAGAGTTGGAAAGAATTCTGACGAGTCAAACCAACTCCCTCCCTCCACTCGTCCACCAGAATAACCCCCTCCCTGCTGTCCCTCCGCAGCCACGCAGGGCTCACATCATTCCCAACATCAACTCGTATTTCACTCTAGTCAATGGCTATGGAGAAACAGACTTCATAAAACAGACACTTGTCTTTAAAGTCATCTCCCAGCACCGGCTGTGCCTCTTGAATCAATGACCCTTTGGGGGAGCAAAAGGAATGTATGTCCAGAGAGTCAGTTCCATTCCATCACTGAGGGGATGGCCTTGGTTCTAGTATGTGATGTGGAAAATAAAAGGGACAGGAAGGCATAGGGCCCTCCAGCTCTGGCATCCTGCAATGCTGGGACGCTGGGTATCTGAGAAACAGCTAGTCCTCAGGTTCTACTAGTTGAATCCAGCTGGGGGGAGGGAAAGAGGGAGGAGCGTGGGAGAGGAGTAACTTTCTTCTGCCCCTTACCAGACAGTTAAAATGGCAAAGTCAAATCAGTCTAAGTTGGCCACGGCAGCCCACCACAGCAGTGCCCTGGAAGCCAGGTCTTTATCCTGACCACCACTCTCCCCTCCTCGGAAACACCCACAAATCATCAGCACTGCACCCATTCCCTTTGACCAGCATCTTAACCTTTCTGTTCATTATCACCCTCCTAATGAGCCTTGTTAGACATTCTTTTCCCAACTGCCCTTCCAACAAAATTTTAATTCCACATATACATTGTGTGTATACCTGTTTATGTACCACATTCATATCTGTGCTTTAGACATGGTGTAAGATGGTTTTTTGACCCACCACCGCCCCCTCAAAAGCAATTTTAACCCCTGTGGTGTAAGCACATAGGGTAGCACGTCCCCAGAGGAAGAAAACCAGGCATGGCTGGTTTTTTGACATAAGAGAACCCATTTTTGGCCTAAGCCATTTTGTGATCTAAGGCTGGCCATAATGCTTGTCCTTGAACAGGTCTCAGTAATTAATGACCTTAAGGAAACAAGGAACAAATGACTGTTATCAGGCAAGAGAAGTAACAAGAGCAAAGATAATACATCACTTGTAAAGACCCCCAGTTCTGTTTCAGCAGTAAAGACTAGCCTGAAGCACTCAACCACCAGATCAACTGGAACCTAAGGGATGATAATGTTGACCTTTTCTGACCCTTGTGACTTCAATCAACTAAAGCTTGGACTGTGTGGACCACCCAAACCCCTTCGTGAATATGCATGTACCCTCAGCTTAAAACTTCCCCAGTTTTCAGGGAGACACTGCTTTGGGAAAGATCCCCGGTGTTCTCCTTACTTGCTGCAAGTAATAGATCCTTCCTCCTCCCACTCTCTGGCTTGGTTGCATCTTTTGGCTCAACACCCACGAAGAGGTGAACCCAGTTTTGGGGTAACATTGGGAGCAATAGCGCATGCCTTTGAACAATGTTCTTTGATGTTTTTATTTTTAACTCATGCTCTAGAGCCAAAATTGCCACACGTTCCTTTCTGTAGTTGACATCAGAGAGGTATGGGATTATTTCCACTTTCAAAATGCAGGAAATGACAACCTTGAATGGTTTTAAAACTACACAAGCCCTCCTGAAGATTCTGCTATGACCTTACTCTCAAGCTGAGAAAAACTGCCTGAAAAGTACTGCCTTTGAGTCAGTTTTTTTAACCTAACATATTTGAAGTGTGTGCTGGGTATGTCAGTCAAGTTGGCTGCTGTAATTTTCTCAGTGGCTTCAACTGTGCACTTGAAGGCACTCCAAGGTGGGCACACACCCGCTCCCCACCTCGTTCACCCAGTAGGGGAGCAGAATTTGCCCCCTATGTCTCTTTGGCATATTAATTCTTTTAAGCTGGTTATTTTCTAAGAAACAGCAGACATGGGAGAAACGCTGAAAACCAAGTAGAAGTTACCCTTTTGTAAGAAACATTTACATGCATAAGGAAAATCTCCATTTGTAAGGATGTCTCCTTGACTGTACCAAGAAGTGGAGGATGACCAAATCTCTAGAAACTTAATCAATGGAGAAGGCAAAGGCTTACATCTGCATGAAAAGCTCACCCTTGTTTACCATGCTTTTCCTGGTCACCTCCCATAACTGACTCCCCACTGTCCACACCCTCTTTTGCCTTTAGCCAAAGATGGTATTCAAGGTGAAAGCCTTCTCTCCCATGTATTCATGTTATTCAACTTTTGTGTGATTTTCTCCTGTTAATCTGTCTCATGTCCATTTAATCCTTAGACCAGCCAGAAGAACCTAGAAGGGTAGAGGAAAATGTCTTCCTCCCCAGCAACCCATAGAGCAGGCAGGGGGCTGTCCATAGGCTGAGGAGTTGCATCTCAGATAGGCAAGTCCTGGTGATGTAAGAATCTAGAACAAGGCCAGCCAGGGTGACCCAAAGTGGGCCAGGCATAAATGAGCTAGGCAGTAGATAGTGACTTGAGGGCAAGGTCGGGGGAGGTCATATATTTAAATTTGCTTGAACATGAGCTAAAAAAAAAAATCTCTGAAAGGACACAGAAGAAACTGAGGCAGGAGATAGGTGGGCTCCAGGCTAGGCATTTACAACTGGCCTCCTGTTCACACTTCCTGGGGTAAGAAGAAGATGAGCTCCAGGCCAGACAATCATTACCAGCCCCCGGTTTACATTTCCTGGGGCAAGAGACAAACGGGCTCCAGGACTACATATTTATGACCAGACTCCTGTCTATATTTTGAGATCTGCACCTCGATATAAGAAACAGGAACAGGGTAGATAACCGGACACTGGACACTTTTATGGCAGAGACAGAGAGGGGCTAAACCCTGTTAAAAGATTGAGAGGTCATACATTTCCCATCCTTGGGGCAAGGGAGACACTACGCAGGCACAAAAGCCTTCACAGGGTCAAAAAGGCAGGAGATGCCAGGCCATAGTAAGTCCTGCTACCTCCCTCCCAGAGGCCTTTGCGATGAAAGCCATCTTGACCGAGGGGTGCGTGTACACCCAGGGGAAGGTCCAGAGACAAATTAGCCATGGGGTCAAAACAATACGATTGGCCAAGAAGAAGACAAAGACCTGGAAGACTGCCCCCTCATAAAGGGTTTAAACTTCCCAAAGGCCCGACTCTCGTGACTCTCTCACTGAGTTCGCCTGTGCTTCCTTCCGCATGTACTCTGCTTTTCCAGTAAACTTTTCACTTTTCTCTTTACCTTCTGCCTCCTCACCTGAATTCTTTCTTGACAAGGCAGGCAAGAACTAGGGACCCAGGCCCTAGCTGCTGGCCCCTGTGGTCCAGTGGTTAGGACTCCCGGTCCCGGAACTAAGATCTTGCTTCCAGCTACTGCTCGCTGCCGCTTACTGACGCCTGTGATCAAAATCAAAACTAGCATCAGTGGTCACATGTTAGTATGAAACCGAGTCCCCCTAAAACTGAATTCCCCTGCCGAGTTTATGATTAACCTCTCTATTAAAACCTTTTCCCCCTTTCTCATCCCCTCTGACCTCAATCCTGTGCTAACTGAACAATGATCAACCAGAGTCAGAGGACTAAAAGTGCTCTTGTCCATAACATCCTTAACATACTCAGGCTGTTTCTCCAGGGCAGGATGAGCTAACAGACTGCCCCCCTCCCCAGGTCATGGACAACCTGGCCAAAGACTCACAAACCTTAGGCATCCTGACTCTTGAAACTGCGATTAACAAATGTCACAAGACAATGATTAGCCCCACCTTCTTTGTCCTTCCCTTTAAAAACCCCGTAACTCGAAGACCAAATTGGAGGGGATCTGAGGCTCACCTCCCACTCCCTTGCTTGGCACCCTGCAATAAACCCTTACTTTGCTGCAAATACCTGCTGTCAGAGTTTGGCTTTCTGAGCAGCGAGCACTCAACCCCTTGCTCGGTTTCAAGGAAAGGACTGGGCAGATGAGGGACAGAGGTGTGAAAGCCACTTCTCACTTCATATTTTATTGTACATTTTTGGTTTTTCAACCCTGTAAATGTGTGTCCCATCAAAAAGCATAAAAGAAAATTTTAAATAAAAAGAAAACATTTGTAAAATATCATATTGTTGCTTTTCATAATGAGCCTCTTTTCATCCTCTTTCTTATTTGGAATAGTCAGAACATACAACCGTCTAAATTTTGGGAAGTGCATATTGGAACCTATTTCAAACACTCAGAAATTTAACCAGAAAAAAAGAAAAATGAGTTCTAACCCTTCCATCAAGAAACAAAGGAGATTTTTATATACCATCAGGGAATATTTAAACACAATCTGTATCATTCTAATTCATACAAGAGCATTCTCATAGCATCAAAAGCCTTAAACATTTCTAATGACTAGTTATATTCCACTGTAGGGATACCACTTAATGGTCTCAACTATTTCCCCACCGTGGGGCATTTAAATTACTATCATTTCCGATTCTTCTAACTAATGTTATAGTGAATACCTGTTCACTTCTTTGTCAACATATCAGATTCCTTAGGAGAATTTCGGAGAAGTAAATGTCTGAGTCAGAGGGTATGAATATTTTTATGCTTTGTGAAAGAGACCACCTAGTTGACTTCCAAAAGGTTGTATTGATTCATATTGCTACAAACAGGCAGGACAGCATCAACTTCACTCCCCAGACAGCACTCATCAGTCTCATTTTAACTACTTCATTAATCGCAACAGTACATATCTTTTATTATTTCTGGTTTTTATGGGAATCCCCCACTACAGATGGTACCCAAATTACAATGCTTCAACTTTCCATTTTTCAGCTTTAAGATGGTACAAAAGCAATGTGCATTCGGTAGAAACTGTACTTCAATTTTTGAATTTTGATCTTCTCCTGAGCTTGAGATATGCAACATGATCCTCTCGTGATGCTGGGCAGTGGCAGCCACAGCTCCCCGTCAGCCGTGCAATCACGAGGGGGAACAACTGATACACGTACAACCATTCTGCACCCAGACAACCATTCTGTTTTTCACTTTCAGTACAGTATTCAATAAATTATGAAACAGAGCAGGACCCTGCGAGGCCCTCCTGGGTACAAGCCCCTCCTTGTCTCCTGTTGCTTGTTTGTAGAAAAAGCTTTTGTCGCCTAGGCCTTCCCCGGGTTCCAAAGAGCAGACCCAGTTAATGATTAGAGAAGTGGAAAATGTAGAAACAAAGGAAAGCAATCAAACAAGAAAAGTACTACTAGCTTAAACAATAGAGTCACAGGACTCCTAGTTCCTCCTGAAGGGATATAGACAGCAATCTGACACACATCTTTGAGTTGTTCTGCAGAAACTAAGCGGAAGACGTTGACTTCACAGGGTCTGCACACAGACCCCAGACTGGTTGGAACCAGAAGACTGATGATTGAGATTCCTGAAACACCACCCTGTTACCTCACCACCAACCAATCAGAAAGAACGTCCATGAGCTGATCAGGCACCCTACGACCCTCTCCCATAATGTTGCCTTTAAAAACCCTTGCCTAAAAGCCATTGGGGAGTTTGGGTCTTTTGAGCACTAGCTGCACATTCTCCTTACTTGGCACCCTGCAATAAACGCTGTCCCGTCCTTCACCACAACCCGGTGTCAGCAGACTGGCTTTGCTGTGCGTCGGGCAGGTGGACCCAAGTTTGGTTCAGTAACAATTTCATGAGATTTGTAACACTTTATTATGAAATAGGCTTTGTGTGAGATCGTTCTTCCCAACTGTGGGCTAATGTAAGTGTTCTGAGCACATTTAAGGTAGGCTAGGCTAAAATATGATGTTCAGTAGGTTAGGTGTATTAAATGCATTGACTTCCAATATTCAGGACACAACCCCATCATAAGTCAGGGAAGATCTTTATTCTCCCACTGAGCTTATGGTTGGGTACTGTTTTGTAAAAGATATTCTTTCTCTTGTTTGAAGCACCCTGTCAAGTTTGTTATGAGATTGTGAGCACCAGGGTGTAGATACTGTACGCTGCCTATTGAGTGTCTATGGTGATACGGGGGTTCACTCTTTTGTTTGAACAGTATGATGTGTTAATCAATTTAATTCCCGGGATAAACACACTATCCATTCATGACTGATTATCCCTTAACACTATTAAATTAGACATTCTAAAATTTTATTTAAGGTTTTTACATCTTTATTAATAACCAACATTAGTCTATAGCTTGGAGTTTTATTTTTTGTTGTATGTGCTTTCTTGAGTTCTAATGTTTAGGTCATGCTAGCTTCCCATTTTCGCCTATGCTTTCGATCTCAATCAGCCTCTCACAAAGTAAATATACACTATCTCTTT